GTAATACTGGTATGACCTCCAGAAGAGGGCTTGTCATACCATTGATATTGCAATTTCATTCTATATGCAGTCATTCTGGCAGAGCTGCACATGAAGATATCTAAAGGAGTCAGGTCCAGAATTGCCTCAAGTGCTCTGGTAGGGGCCGTGGACATTGCACCTGTGATACACAAGCAGGCCAGTCTTGCATACAGTATTAATAATGGAAGATAAGTTAAACATAAAAATTAATTTCAAAAAGCTAACAAACAAATTAAAACATTCAACAGCTTTTATATAATTTTTTATTAGAAAAGATATAGCCAAAAAAGGTTCTCAATTTCAAATAAATAATTTAATTTAATGTAAACTTCGTTGTTGTTGTTGTTGTTAATTTACGTCGCACTAGAGCTGCACAATGGGCTATTGGCGACGGTCTGGGAAACATCCCGCAGGATGATCCGAAGACATGCCATCACAATTTTGATCCTCTGTGGAGGGGATGGCACCCCCGCTTCGGTAGCCCGACAACCTGCGCGCGAAGTCGAGCACTTTACGGTAGCACAGTTTAACGAGGACCAATACCGCACACCCTCGGTCCCTACGCAGACTGATCCAAGTGGTCACCCACCCGCACACTGACCGGAGCCATGTAAACTTCGTCATATAGATATTTTAAAATATAATTTATAAGTACATAAAAGGCGGTGCTTCCATAAAAATACTCAATAATCTTTCCGATTCCTTTTTTTTCTCTCCAGTTTTTACAATTCAGACAATTATCACAACTATACACAAAATGAGATGGTTTTCAATATTTACTTATCAGTTACACTTCAAATTAGAAAAGTAACACAGAACCAGTTCAGATAGTTAGCCCCCTTTGAAAAACCTGATGTTCCCAACCACCTAAAAATTCCTGTTCTTTTGTACTTCATTCTCTCATTCACCTCTCCCCTATTTAGAAAACGGGGTTACAAAAGAACACAAACAAATTTTTAGGAGGCTGGAAACATTAAGAATAACAAAAGACTTACTCAACTAGTTTAACCACTTTTTAAAGTAATCGTATCCATGTTTTAAAGTAACTAGACAACCATCATTAGTTGGATAGTTTTTCTTTCTTTTATTATAATTAAATATCAGAGATTCGTTAATATATAATGAGAAATAAATATTTAATCAATAGTACTATTTTGAATTTCTTGACTACTTTATTCTTTCTTAAATTATACAAAACAATGTGGCCTAAAATGATAGAAAAGAAGCTCCTGAGTGGATGGTAGTATCCAAATTAGAAAGTGATCCAAGGAAAGTGAAATGTAACCATTGTGGAGTATACAATACATATAAAGTAGTACATGTGAAGAGTAATACATATAAAAATTGAGAGAATTAGATCACATCTGAACAAAAGTTCAAAGAAAGAATTACCCAGTACTTCATATAACTGTTCAATATTAACAAACTTTGAAGATCCGCCGACAATAACTCACAACTCTGCACCAAAATTGAAACGCAAAGAATTATGCAAGATTTCACAATAAAAACAACCGACAGTCAAAAGTCGATTTTAGATATAAAAATAACTAGATTTTCGTATGCCAATAACATAACATTTAATACAGCAAGCACGAAAGAGTATAAAGAAATGTTACAAGCAAGATTATAAAGAAATGTTACAAGCAAGATTATAAAAAAAAATTTTATAGCAACATGCATCTATTCTGGAAAAATATCATTTTTATTCAATGCGACAAATTGTGCAGCTAACATAAAAACTGCACAATATTGTGTAAATCTTGCCACAGAGTAAAATAAAATATTGTTATGAGAATTTTGGAATCATTCTTTTCACTATATGCACAGATAACGCAAACAAGATGATAAAAGTATGATAGTTGTTGCAAGATAAAAAATAAAGACCTGCTAACCAAAGGATACTCCGACCCAAATCTTAATCTTATTGAAGAGGAAATCAGTAAATAAGACATTTTCACAAATATTTTAGTATCAAATAAATTAAGTAAAAAATAGAATGAAATAGCTAGTAAAGAACTCTCAGTCCAATTATGTTTCCTCATTGATTACAAAGTATCACATTGAAATTCAGGTAGGTTCATGCAAAAAGAGCTTGCAGCTATGAAAATGTTCTTTTGCAAATTCAATCTTAAAAATCAAATCTATCTGAAGCAGTTGAGTATTCGATGAATTGAAAAGACAATGAGAGTCCAGGTAAAAAAATTCTTGAAAAGAGGTGCAATCAAGCTTCAACTCCTTTCCATTTCTTAGCTAATATTCTGAATCCAAAATACAATGAAAAAGACTACCTGAAGACATGAGGAAAGACGCTGCGGTTTAGGTTTCTCAGAAAAATGCTAATTCCAGTTTTGTGTCCCAGAATAAAAAATCCAAGTGTGTATCTACTTTCATCATTTAATGAAAATGTAATGGAACATTTCAGTTTCCCCAAATGGTGGGGTATCGTGGGTGAAAGCCAGCTCAAGTGGGAAGGGGGAAAAAAATTGTCAATTTTATGGTTGAGTTAGCTGGCTGTCCAGCAAGCTCGGCAGCTAATTAACACATATTTTCTGCATGTGGACTTGTTTGGTTCAAACTGAGAAACAGTTTAGGTCTCAAAAAAGTTAGAAAAACTTGTTAAAGTTTATGCACAATTAAAGAATGAATCAAAACTAGAAGAGAGTATTATAGAACTTTAAATGTATCATTCATTTTATTTTTACTTTCCCCGGTGCATCATTAATTACAGGATTAAAATTTCAATCATTAATTACAGAATTATGTATAAAGTGTTCCATTTCTGCTATGTATCTATATATAGATATATTTTAAAAAATATTTCAAAAATGCATTAAAATTTTTTTTGGTCAAACTTTTATAATGTAATCAAGATTATTTTGTTTAAAAATGGTTGAATAATTTTAGAAAATATTTTTTAAAAAAATGAGTGAAATTATAATAACTGTAGTAATAAAAAGGTTGGCAAGCCAACTTTTTTGTTAATTCCTTAAAAAAAAAAAAAAAACTTTTTTTGGCCTAGAGCATATTATAATCCCCTAACTTTATTAAAAACTTATATTTTTATCATTTTTTAATAATAAACATTACTATTTTTCAAGTATCTCATTAAAAAAAATAAGAAATTTCTGGCACAATTTTTTTTTCTTGTCATAACCTGAAGACTTAAAGAGAATGTCCCATACAGTTAAAAGGAACGATTCTTTGAGAGACAAACAATTTTTTTGAAAAAGTTTTATTTCCTTACTCGTATTTTCTCTTTATTCAAAGCAAAATATAGTTAGCAAAACTTTGTGTTTGTGGTATTTTAAGTACTTTTATTTGTGAATTTTAATACAACTTACAGATACTTTTGGCTGAGTTTTAAAACAATTTACATGAAAAGGTACAGCTATAATTCTTATATTAATTTGATTAAAAAATATTAAGGTATGACACCACACTTTTTTTAAAAATGAGACATTTAAATAAACATTCTATTTTTCACAAATGTTTACATAAATTTTTTGAAAAAACGCAAAACCTCAGTGTAAGAAGATGAAATTTCACTATCAACAACTGGACGCACCAGCTAAATAAACTTGTTTATTTAAATTGGATTTCAACGAAAATGCTTAATAGCACACATTTAAAATTGCCTCTGTGTGACTATTTTAATACATAAACTACAGAATTAAGGTTCTTCTTTAGTTGTGAACAAAAGTATTCTAGTTCATTTTTTTTTTTTTTTTNTTTTTTTTTTTTTTTTTTTTTTTTTTTTTTGTGTGGATATATTTGGAAGATATATCCATAGCCGGAATAAGGATTTATTACAAGCATTACACAAATTTTAGCCTGAACACAAACAAGATATTGCGTATTGAGATTGTTTTTCTCTTTGAATATTATTTCACATACACTACTTCAGAGATATTTCTTACCTGAATGAAAAAGAATGTTAATTTAACTGTGCTTTCAGCATGGATATTTTATCACGCATGCTGCATGAATAAGGCTACTCTTTTCCACGAAAAGAGAAAATTATCGAAACTATATTTTGGAATATTGTACTGTCACCTACAGTACAAAGCTTAGTATTATCACTGATATGAACTAGTGAATGTATATTTAATGAGTGTATTTTCTCTTAGAATGTTTTGTCACATACACTGCATAAATATAGCTTTTCCCTAGTATGAAAAATAGAATGTTTATTTAAATGGGATTCTATGTAAATGTTTCACCACATACAATACATGAATAAGGCTTTTTAGTGCAAACAAGGTAGTATTTAAAATATTTTTCTCTCTGAATGTGTTATTACATAGATTGCATGAATAAGGCTTCACTCTAATATGAATAAAACAGTGTCTCCTTAAATTGGACTTATTTGTAAATAATGTATCTCATGTATCACGTTCATCAATAGTCTTTCTTTTTAGTGAACAAGAGATACTTATTTAAATAGGATTTGTGTGAATGTTTCACAATGTATTCTGGCTAAATATAAGTATGAACAGTATAATGTGACCTTAAATTGCTTTTCGTAGTGAATGTTTAGTGACATACTTCCCATGAATAAGGTTTCGCACCAGTGTGAACACGAGAGTGATTCTTTAAACTAGAGTTTTGTGAGATACACTGCATGAATATGGCTTCTCTCCAGTATGAAAAATAGAATGTTTATTTAAATGCGATTCTATGTACAGTGAAACCTCCGTTAAGCGGACATTCATGGGACCAAAAAATTTGTCCGATTATGAGAGTTGTCCGTTTACGGGAAGGATACCCTAATAACGAAATTTAACACCGTAAATTGTTTTGAATATTCTTAAAGATTTAGAAATTATTAAATAATATCTACAAGGATACTCTAAATATCTACAAGAATATTTATTTAAACAATAAGAAAGATAAAAAAGAATATATAAAGAAGTTTGATATAAATACATAATTCTGGATGTAGCTACAGATAAATAAATATAATTTTCCTATTAGCATAGATACTCAAGTTAGACATATGATACCAAATAGGAGCGTACTGTCCTCAGTCCGTTTCAATTATTAGGTTCACATCCCCTTACACCTACTTATCATTTGATAGGGAACATGGTTAATACCTTCTTGGAAAATAAACCTCCCATGATTCACAGAAAAAAAAGTAATGCATACCTGTAAGTCATGAGGACCTATGGAGATGATTATTCACAATTGATCAGCTATCAAGTGTCTGAATAAATGTTTCATTTATATAAACACCTCAAAGATTATACTTCTGTTCTCTTTTTTTTACCCCAGTTGTGTTAAATACAGTCTTCAAATTGATAAGAAAATTAAAGAAATTTTCAATGGGGAAGAAGCATTGAGAGAAGTCATTTCAACTTGAGGGGTCTCATAACCTGTGTGGTCCAGATGAAAAGATCAAAAGATGCCGATGTCAGAATTATTTCAGGAGTGCAGTACCATTTTCTCTCCTTTCTTTACAAAGATAAGGCAAGGTGACAGGAGAAAGATTGATTTTTCGGTGGTGAAATAGCTTAACAATATTTTTAGTTATGGATAAGGCAAAAAGTTTTTTTTACATGCTTTAAAAATGGTGAAAAGTTGAATTTTTTTAGCTTGCAATTTATTTAGAAAAAGTAGTGTCCGGTTTGTAGAGATAAAAAACAACGTTTCAGGACCAAAATGACTGTCCGCGTCCGGTTACGGGAGTGTCCGCTTTGCGGAGAATGTACGTAATGGTTTATACATTGAAGATTCCCGGGGAATGAAAAATATGTCCGTATTGAGAGGCGTCCGTTTTGCAGGAGTGTCCATAACAGGATGTTTCACTGTATATGTTTCACCACATACACTACACGAATAAGGTTTTCAGAGCACACAAGGTAGTATTTATTTAAAATATTTTTCTCTCTGAATATATTACATAGATTACATGAATAAGGCTTCACTCTAATATGAACAAAACAGTGTCTCCTTAAATTGGACTTATTTGTAAATGATGTATCACATACACTACACCAATAGTTTTTCTCTTTAGTGAACAAGAGAAATTAGTATTGGATTGGATAAATGGGATTGGTGTAAATGTTTTATCATGTACTCTAGCTAAATATAAGTATGAACAGTATAATGTGACCTTAAATTGCTTTTCGTAGGGAATGTTTAATCACTTACTTCACATGAATAAGATTTCTCACCTGTGTGAACACGAGAGTGATACTTTAAACTAGCACTCTGTGCAAATGTTTTGTCACATACACTGCATGAATACGGCCTCTCTCCAGTGTGAATAAAAGAATGAGTTCTTAAATTGCCTCTCTGAGTGAATGTTTTATTACATACATTGCAAGAGTAAGGTTTCTCTCCAGTATGAACAATAGAATGTGTCATTAAATAGGATTTAATTTTAAACGTTTTACCACACACACTGCATGAATAAGGCTTCTCTTTGGTATGAACTAAACAGTGTTCATTCAATCGGAATTTAATTTTAAATGTTTTATTACACACACTGCATGAAAATGGCCTATCTTCACTATGAACAAAAGAGTGTCTAGCTAAAGTGGTTCTGTTACTGAATGTTTTGTTACATACACTGCATGAATAAGGCTTCTCACCAGTGTGTAGGAGATAGTGCTCAGTTAAATTCTGTTTGTTTACAAATGTTTTATTACATACACTGCATGAATAGGGCTTCTCTCCAGTATGAATAAGATAGTGACCATCTAAATGTCTTTTACGGGTGAAGGCTTTATCACATACAGTGCATGAATAAGTTTTCTTACCAGTATGAACAAGACCATGACTAGTTAAACAACTTTTTGATTTGAATGTTTTATTACATACACTGCATGAATAAGGCCTCTCAACAGTATGGACAAGAGAATGGCTAGTTAAACTTCTTTTCAAACTGAATTGTTTAAAACATACACTGCATGAATATGGCTTCTTACCAATATGAACATAGTTGTGAACAGTTAAATTGCTTTTCAATCTGAATGTTTTAAAACATACACTGCACGAATAAGGTTTTTCTCCAGTGTGAACAAGATAGTGCTTATTTAATCTAGTTTTCCGAGTGAATGCTTTATCACATACACTACATGAATAAGACTTCTCCTTTGAAATTACAATATCTTGTTTATATGAACTACTTTTATTTGGAAATGTTTTATCGCACATAGCAAATGCTAACAACTTCTTCTTCTGGTATGCTTATTAAAAGGGGATTTGTCGTATAAATATTTTTTTTAACATTTATAACATTGAAGGAATTTTGTTTTAGGATGTTTATTTAAATGGCTTTCTTGCATGTCTGTATTATCACTTCCACCACAATCAACCACAGGATAATTTTAAAAGCAATTTAAAGTTAAAGTGTTTTTATATGCTCAGCATGAATCCACAACGGTAATGCATATTCGAACAATTTTTATGCACAGAACTGTCCTGTTGATAATTGTTATCTTTTTATTTTATTTTACATAATCTAAGAGAAAGTTTCATAGCGCACACTGCGCATAAGTCTTCTCTCAATTAAATAAGTTTTACGACACTTATTGCACTAATAATACTCATTATAAAAACCTTGGCAAGATGAAACCAAGATAAAAACTTATAAACACTGCACAAATAATAATTTTTTTAAATATAAACATATGGCTTAACCAATGACGAGTAACCATGGAACTTCAAATTAATGCTTCGTAAATATATGCTTATAGCTTTTAAAAGTCAAAAAAATAATATTTAAAACTAAAGCACCTATGGAGCATTCTTACTGCATGCAAAATTATCGCATATCTCCATGCTATGGGTGGTGTTTTGAGTATAAATGTAATCAGCAATCTCCAGCTTTTGACCTGCTCTTCTTCCAGTAAGATTTGGTTTGATTTGTTCATTTATAATGATTCATTTATAATGAGTTTATATTTGTTCATTTATAATGAGTTCATTTTGATTTGTTTTACTTCGCACTAGGGCTGCACAATGGGCTATTGGCGACGGTCTGGGAAGCATCCCTGGGAATGATCCGAAGACATGCCATCAGAATTTTGATCCTCAGCAGAGGGGATTTCTAGTATACGTATATTTGTCACATGATTTACTATTTGTGTTTAAAAGAAGAATCGTTATAAGAACCATAGTTTGAAAATCTGTCATTTCAAGACGTAAGAATTGTTATTTGAAAAAAACATTTATTTAAGCATAATTATTTTTGAGCTCTAATTATAATGAGATGTTTATTGACATTGTAACATTGAATAAAATATAGTTAGAGAATATAGCTCACAGTTGAAAAGGTAAATTGGGTATAATATGAAAAAAACACAACTACTTCGATTTAGTAGGAACAACATATGACGCAATGCTAAACGAATGGAATTTAGTTGTTGTTTATTTAGTTATTGTTATTAGTAGTTGTTGTTATTTGTTTTAGTTGTTGTTGTTTATTTAGTTGTATTTAGTTTCAATAACTTTTCTTTATAATGCAATAATATCTGGCGAGTAGCTATTTAAACGATCGAACACTTCGTTCGTTTATTTGTGGCTTGAAGTTAGGCTCGCAGAAAATGCCGTTCTTGGGTTAAATTTAGTAGGAGCAACACAACCTGTGACGTAGGCTATATTATACCCAATTATTAAAAAAGTGATGAATAATTTTTTTAAAAAAAATTGAACTGGCAAAATAAATCTTATTGAAATGACACAATTACCTTAATGGCATTTTGATAGATGAAGAGCTTAGTGGAAGAACCTGCTAAGTGACTTTATTAAAATAAATTATCTCTAGGAAATTTCTTATTTTAGCTTTATTTAAATATATAACATTTATGCCTTCACAAACATTCTAAAAACAAAGATTATTCACTTCTTCCATTAAGCCCTTCAAATATTTTTACTTAGAATAACAACTTGTTTATTAAAAAAGAAATATAATTGCAATTTTGTAATGAAATGTTCTTTTAAATCTAAGAATTGTAAACATTTTATTTGTGAAGAAAGAATCAATATGCACTTTTTACAGTTATAGACAATAACAAAAACTGCATCAAACTTTCAGTTAATTTTTTATTTGCATTGTTTAAAATTTTAAAAAAGCAGCATATCAAGCTTAGACGTTTTAACGAATGGCTTAATATTAAACTAGAAATGTTTAAACTCAGTTCATTTTCTTCATGGGTTCACCTTACAGCTTGTGTTTTAAGCCTTTTTGATAAGTTATAAGAATCCAAGGCAAACCCAACAGTTTTTATCCAAAGGTTTTATGGCATCGTCATACATATATGGATTTTACACCTATTTATATACAGATGGATCGAAACATGATAACCATGTTGGTTGTGTTATTGTCTACAAAAGTTTTAATATGCCTGAAAAGTTTCTTCATGAAACTTCAATTTCCCCCCCACAGAATGCTATGTTCAGTTTTCGTGCAGACTCCTTGGAAATAAAAAAGTCTTAAAGTCTGAGTAGTACTTGGAACTACCGTCATTCGGGGCTACTTTGTGCAGGATTTCGCAGTTTTTGAACTTTGACATTTAAAAAAACTATGTTAAATCAAACTTTAGTAAAATTTATCGATATTATATTCATAACTGGACTCAGACGAGTGAATTTGATCAATATTGGCATTATTTGTATGTAATATTTACGAATAATAAGTCAAAACATACCTTGCACAAAGTAGCCCCATTTGGGGGCAGCGATAGGAATTCAGTTCAATAATCATGTTTTTAGTAAAATATTGATATAAAATTGTTAAAAAAGTTAATTGTTGACATTTTTAATAACAAAAACATCAAGATATGTAAAGATATTAGTTTGAAAATAATTTTCAGCGTTAAAAAACCATTTTTTATAAAGAATTTTTTCTTAAAAAGAATGTTTATTTCAAAACATTTGAGTTTAAACAAAAGGAAACCATATACATTTTTGAACATTGAAATGGATGAAATTTCAAAAATAATAATTATTACATATTCATTAACATTTATAATATTGATAAATTTGAACATAACATGCTTGAATGAACATGACAGAACTTGCTCTTCAGTTTCTGTCAAAATCACCTGATGTCCTATAAAATATATTTTTATGTGTTAAATCGTTTGATTAATTCATTAGAAAAATCTTTGTAGAAGAAAAATAATAGTTTACCAGCACGTTTCACGTGTTTCTTGTGAATTTTATTAGAGATAGTATTTCTGTGGATTTTGTACTTCCGAGAAGCTTCTGCAATCGACATACCACCAGCAACTGCTTGCAAACATTGTTGCAGCTTTTCTAAAGTGTAATCACGGTAGTTTCTCGTTCCAGGTATTTTTTTATAACGTCTGACCATTTTTCTGTCGAAAAAAAAAACGAATGAAACTTTGCACAAAGTAGCCCCAAAGTGCATTTTTTTTCATTTTCCGTTTATTTGTTATTAATTTTCAAATTTTTTTAAAGCTAACATGATATAATTGTTTATTAATATATAAATAAAAAATTTTGCACTTACGACAATTGTTTTATCAATGTCTTTGCATTTCACACCTAAAGTTTCCACGTACACTTTTCGACATCCGACGTCCTCAGAAAGTTGTTGACATTGGATGAACGAAACACACTCTGAGGTTGTTTTAAAATTCGAAAAAAAATTTGTAGTAATAGAAGAGACTTCTATCTTCAAATTCCACACATTTTTAACGTGAAATAAACATAATACTGAATAGCAGCACTTGAAAAATGTCAAATTCGAATTTGCACAAAGTAGCCCCCGATGCACAAAGTACGAATGACGGTACTTAGATTTCCAAATTAGTCCTTAGATTATTGCGTTGCGAAGATGAACTTGCTAAGTCCGCTGTCACAGCAGGGAAACTAAATTATATAACTTCTATCAAAATCTAATAGCTTAAGAAAAACTTTGAAAGAAAAAAAATTGAATTGCAAGAGTTAGAAGAAAAAAAGAACAGCAAATAATTTTAATTTTACACGTTACAAGCAAACTTAATTAATAATTTACTGTGAATTTTTTTGTTGTATAAAATGCCTTACATTTTCTAATGTATTCAAATTTAAAAATATAAGATTGGTAGGTTTTTATGTTAATCTTTAACATCCTGTACTTTATCAAGATTTATTAAAATATTTGAAACTGGAAAATGTATTTGTGTAAAAGTGATAACTTTATTTATTTTTCTTGATAAAATTTGACAAAGTCAAGATTTATTTCAAAAGGGCTAGAAAAAATATGCAAAATGTAAATTTTTGCAAGTTCCTTATAATAACTGTTTTTTAATTTTAAAAAAAAGAAATTGTCTAGTTATCTTTTACACAAAGTTTTTAAATTTTTGATAAGTTCTTAAAATTTTGGACTCCTTGGATTTCTTCTTCTGATCTCTGTATGAGCCCTGGCTATGTTATTTTGCCAGCGTTTATTTTATTTCAAATCAAACTAAACATAAAAGGATAATTTCTACTGACTCTGGTATGTTTATATGACTAGTGTTCTTCACATTGGAAAAAATCCCGTAATTAAAATTAATCCCGCTAAAAAATTAACGTGAAGCTTTTCTATCAACACAAATGGCGAATTAGGGTCCCTACTAGTTTTTTATTAAACTGTTACAGATATTTAAATGTTATGTGGTGATAAAAATGTTACAACAAATAAACATTTGATCCAAAAAAAAATTTTATTGAAGCATATTCTTACATATGGCTTTATTTGAAAATTATTTTTAGCTATAACAGTTCACTGAACTACAACTGAGCAGGAAGAACAATAAACAACTAACAGTGAACAATAGACTTATAAAAATGAGCAATAAACATAATTTTTCATTTAAAGCAGTAAATATAAATATACGTCATCAATATTAATCACATCATCGATCATCGCATCATGATTACATCATCGAGCGTTAACGGATACTAAATTGCCCTTCACACAGCAAAACGGAGACTGTTATGAGAAAAATTATAAAAAATTCTATGATTGACCGAAAATGGGTTAAACTCAAGATTAAAAATATATTTATAGTAAATGTATTATTTTTCATTCAGAGTATAAGTATCTATAAGAGTAAGTAAGATATTTAGAGTATAAGTAAAAATAGCAGATAATATTCTTTCTATCATAAAAAAAAAATATTAAAAAAAATTGGTTCTGACAAGCCAATCCTGATGTGACATTCCTATAAAAGGTTTCATGAAAGCATTAAAAGTACTCACACAAAAATATTCAATTTAACCTTAGTTGCAGGTCCCCGAGATTGCCAGTTCATTGTGTCTGGTTCTCTATTAGCCACTTATGGTGGGGGTATTACTTTGAACCACAAAGCTCATTGTAGCCTGATGGTAGGATAAAAGATGCTTCCATTGCATTGCATCAGTAATGCAAGTATCATAACAATAGAGTAAGGGCAACTAAATGCAAAAAAGAAAAAAATTACTTAAACATCTGTTGATTTTTATACATAGAAGTTCTATAAAATTTTTAATGCTAAGCAACTTAGTAGAAGAAAAACATGCTTAGCGCTTCAGACAATTTTGCATAAATAGAAATGTTAATATATTGAAATTTAATGTTGATATATTGAAATCAGACATGATCCTTTTTCATACTTCTTTGTAAATAGAAAATGGAGTTTTGAAAAAAAATATGTTTTATCATGAATTTTAGAATGACTTCTACCACTGCGAAAGGTTTTAAAAAATGGTCAAAATGACCTGTTATTTTATCAGTATACATGACACAATAAAATTTACTGAGCCAATAAATAGTTAAAAATTGACCAATAGATGGTGCTATAGCCACAAGATTATATATATGTAATAAAACAAAGATGAAACTTGTGGCACTCTTAGTTCAAAGCCCATCC